CTTTATAAAATTTATATAAATTTATTATAACCTTCCTAGTTAACGAATGAACGACCCAAGCCAAATGGTGACTCCTCCATCCCTATTACAAAACATTTTATAATTTTTAATATGAAATTTTTTCTAAAATTTCTAGTTGTATTTTAAACTTGGTGTAGATCTTGAAATATGAAAGATTTTAGAAACTTTTCGTTCTAGATTTTAGAAACTTTTCTTTCTCCGGTAATATGAAAGTGTAGGTAATTAATTAGTAGCTAGAATTGTAGTGATGATGGTTACACGACAGGTATTAATTGGTTCATTATCAATTCTCTTCAATTAATGTGGCAACATTATATTGACCGGTCGATGAAGTTAGAAAGATATGGAATATCCAATAATGCGCTTAGCTTTTACTTTTCGTTAGATATTTATTTAAAACTATTCATATGTGGACAAAATTAAGTGTGGAGTCTGTTAACATTGTTGTTGTCTATAAATACTGAGCTTCAAACAATACTCTTCATTTCTCAATCCTTTCTTGAGTTGTTAATTACATTGTTCCTATATTTCACTTTGACTATGGCAAAAATGGGTCCTGCTAAGTCCTCCCAAGTTGGAATGGTGGTAGTTTTTGTAGCTGTCATATTTCTCATGATGTCTATTCAGTTGGCTTTTGCAGCCTCTAAATCTGATGACACACTCCCAGTATTTAAATTCGGTAAGTAATTGTTATCAATTTTCTTTTATTAACCAACATACTAGTTTAAGAGAATATGCGTAGGAGGAAAACTAAGTCACTGATAATTCAACCTCGATCTCTTTTCTCTGTACTTTTCTCCTCTCTTGCACTTCCAAACGCGACATCGTAATTTCATATCAGGATGGAATAGTCGAAATACTACAATAAAGCTTTGTGAAATTATCATTTCAGTCATATGTCTTGATATTATAATAAGTAACCATGTTTTCAACATATGGTGCACGCATGCAGGAAGGCGGCTTCTTCAGATGTCCTATGGGGGACCACAGCCGCCATGGAGCAAAGCCCTAAATGATGAGAAGCCGTAAGTGAGATGAGATATTTTGGGGTCTTAGCAAAATTATTCTCTATTCAATTCCTGCTGAGATATCATTCGATTCTAGCTCAAGTTCAACAAATTGTGTTTCCAAGAATAAGTTGAAAGACAGGTCGTTCAAAATATGTTTATGGTAATACGGAGTTTTAGAGTCGTGTTTTATGGATTTATGTTCTTGTATTGTGTAAGATGTGTAAGGAATTGTGTAATTTTAATTAAATAAAAGACATGTCAAGTTGTTATTGGTTTTATGGATTTATGTTCTTGTATTATTTAAATAGATACTTTCTTTTCTGTTAGTGTTCCTTCTGGTCATATCATACTAAGAATATAACTTTATATCATTCAGAAACTTATAGATAATTAAATAAATTATATTACAAGTTACATTTCTTAAAAGAAGCTCAAATTTTAGGATTTTCCTTTAAGCTCTTTTTCAGCTTCTTTGAACTTATGGAAAGAATCATTACAGCTGTTGCAAAAGGGTGAGCAAGTGGTTAATTTGAACAAGCTAGGCACACCATAAACAAACATGAAATTGAGTAGCATCAATTACAGCAAAAATAACACTAAATCTTTATTTTCAAGTCAACAAGGAAGCAATCAGTCAATTAATAAATAATACTTTCTATCAACTCTGGTTACGCTTGCAAGTTATGATTTTGAATAATATAAATGTGTTGCCTCAATGATCAACACTGGCCATTACACAATTGAATTTGAGACCAGATTTTTTTTTTTTTTTTTTTTTCTGATCAGTTGATAATTAATTTATGTATCTACTTTGACTGAAAGTTTTATGGCAAAAATGGACATCTCTAAGACCATCCACGGCAAGATAATGGTAGTACTCTTCTAGCAATCTTATCCAAAATCAAATTATTTGTCAACTTATTATTCCTGTCAAGGGCAAGAGTTTGGGGTTTCATGCCTAAACTGCAGGGGTGTGTTTGCTGGATTTCAAACACACAGAGACTGATTTATAAGTTCTTAGGGTTGTGTTTGCTGGATTTCAAACTTACTAGATATGATGATGTCATCAATCCAAGCTGGGAACCAGCCCCTTGGCCAGATCAATCCCTGAGTTGGGTATTAAAACATTGGTTATGACCTCTGTTTTTAGAAGTCTGTTGTTCAACATTATAAGTTTACGTATTATTATTGTGTACAAGTCTAGTTGTGTTATTATTATTATTATTGTTATTATATTAATACAAAGAGAAATGTTCCCACAATTTTATAATTTGACGACCTTTGATAGTAAGACTAGAAATCAACTTTTACATAGAAATTTGTGGACACTATGATTTGTAGATAAATCAACTGGATATTAGCTTTTGGATGCATTTCAAGTCCTCCACAATTGTGTCTAACTTATCCTCAAACTAAGGGTGAAATCAAGTCGAGTCGAGTCGAGTATCTGACTATTTGAGCTAGGCTTGATTGCTATAGTATCAAGTTTGAGTTCGAGCTCGAACTTGAGCCTTGTCGAGCCTAAGGAATCAAGCTTGAACTCAAACTTGGTATCTCAAAGTGATACTCGAGCTCGGTTAATAAAGCTTTCAAGCTCAAATTGGTCAAAAAAATCTAAAAAAAAACCCAATAGACAATGACAGATTTACCATCTAAATTTGCTGTGAATTTGCAGACCAACTCATATGAAATCATTAGATAATAAATACAAATATCAGAGAGATAATAAGTTTAAGTCAAGTAGCATAGTATCATTAATCATCATCAAGTACAAGTAGCATATCGTGATTTCATCAATCATATGAAATAGTATACAATAATACTACACCCACAACCTTTTTATACAAACTTTCTCTCACAAACTTATATGGCAAAAGATGATTGGGTGAAAGTTTATTTCAAATTTAAAATTACCCAATCATCTTTTATCACATAAGTTTGTGAGAGAAAATTTGTATTTAAATAATGTAAGTGTAATATTACTCAATAGCATAAGTTCAATAACATCAGTCATCTCATGTCTCATCTGCTGCCTCTCAATGTCGAGGACTTAATCTCTTGCCTCTTTGGCCCAAGACCTGCATATTTATTATTCTTTGGTCAAGACTTAATTCATTACTTAATTTATACAAATGCAATGCAAATTATGCAATTAAGTCTTTTTCCTCTAAAAATCAATCACTCTACTAAGATTTTATGTTCTTATACTATGCAGTACACATACACTACACGATACAGATACAATCAAAAGATTTTCATTATTCAATTTTGATTTGTGTTTATTTCTAATGTCTAAAAGCAATTTGAGGTAATTGTAGTGAGAAATTAAGAATAGATTAGTTGACACGACTGATTCGCATTTTCCTTTTAAACAGTTCGATCAAAATGAAGAACATGCAGTCTTATCTTGGTCAATTCATAGATTTTTTTTTTTTTTTTTTTATAAACTGGAATTATTAACTAACATGCAATCCCGCCACCAAAACCAGATTAATTGTTTTCTGCACATGAAAATTGATGGTCAAAAAATCAAACTTAATTAATTGAAACCAATCCTGCACTAGATTGTGTTCATCATTCTAATTCAAACATACAATTATGTTAGGAGTTGTTTAAAAATTGTACTTCGGGTTTGAATAATTTGTACACTATTAGATNATAGCATAAGTTGCATAACATCAGTCATCTCATGTCTCATCTGCTGCCTCCCAATGTCGAGGACTTAATCTCTTGCCTCTTGGCCCAAGACCTGCATATTTATTATTCTTTGGTCAAGACTCAATTCATTACTTATTTTATACAAATTATGTAATTAAGTCTTTTTCCTCTAAAAATCAATCACTCTACTAAGATTTTATGTTCTTATACTACGCAGTACACATACACTACACGATACAGACACACTCAAAAGATTGTCATTATTCAATTTCGATTTGTGTTTATTTCTAATGTATAAAAGCAATTTGAGGTAATTGTAGTGAGAAATTAAGAATAGCTTAGTTTACACGTCTGATTCGCATTTTCCTTTTAAACAGTTCGATCAAAATGAAGAACATGCAGTCTTAACTTGGTCAATGCATAGATTTTTTTCATAAACTGGAATTATTAACTAACATGCAATCCCACCACCAACACCAGATTAGTTGTTTTCTCCACATGAAAATTGATGATCAAAAAATCAAACTTTATTAATTCAAACAAATCCTGCACTAGATTGTGTTCATCATTCTAATTCAAACATACAATTATGTTAGGAGTTGTTAAAAAATTGTACTTCGGGTTTGAATAATTTGTACACTATTAGATAATAATTTCTGGTCAATTTTGTACCATAGAAACTTCAGCACAGCCACCACAAACCAAGTTGTAAAGGTTTCTCAACTTAATATCTAAAACCAGACCCAGCTGCCAGACGTCGACAGCTTGTGATTAATATTTCCAACTCAGTTTCTAATTTGAAAAAGATTTTTAAATATGATACCTAAACAACACATTCCCACAGTCGGTTGTGGAGCAACTTGTTTGGAATATTTTCTTGCCCTAGCTGCCAGGGCAAATTGTAGAAAAAAACTCAGTCAACTTGACTATTACCTGTTCTGGGAAACAAATGAGAACCACCCAAACACTTAAGAGATAAGAGATTAATCACCCCAAAGAAACTTCAAATTAAAAAAACAAGTCAATAGCCTTCCAAAAGGTCAAATTAGGGCATTGTGATTGTGGCTGGTCACTCTAGTTTTGTCACTACCAAAGATTAATTATTTGTGCATCTGGCTGTTACTTTTTTTTTTTTTTTTTTTTTTGACTGAGGTATTTAGATCGACTTACGTACACCTCGACTAATCCTTAAGAAGAGCTATCCCACAACAACCCACCGCTGCGGCTCTCTAAATAAGTCATGGATAAAGGCACTACATTTTCCTTAGTAGAGAATTGAACTTGGGGCTATAGGCTCGCTATTCACAGTCCCCTTGATTCACCTTTACCGTTAGGCCACTCATGGGTGGGCTCGTTGTTTCCTTATCTTGGCCATGAACAAGACTTATTGTTACATCTCAAGTTGCTGGTGAATGAAAGTTTGGTCAGCTTTTAAGTCCTGGGTCCCCTCAGCTTAATAATTGTGAGAAAAAAAAGTTGCGTGAGCCCATAAAGAAATCTGTAGCTTACCCTCTTTTTTTACGGGCACAGATTTTACAGGTGAATGAGATATAATTAAAAGAAAGTATATGGTACCACGGTGGTATTTTTAATCTGGTATGTACTACAAAATAATGCATGCGTGTCAAATGGTTATTATATTTAATAACTACCCATTAGAATTAATTTAAAAATTTAGGAAATAGAAAAAATTCACAAATGGCATAAATTTACAAGAGGGTGGTAATACCTTTATTGTATTTTAGATTTTTTCCTATAATTAGTGGTATCAAAATTTTTACAGTACATAAAATGTAATATGGGCAAGCGTTTCTCCTTAAATCACTATCAAGAGAGATGGGACCACTTTCAAGGTTGGCTTTTATTTATATCACTCTTGTGCACTTGTTCATGTCGCCAATCCCACACTAAAACCACTCAACATCCTGATATCATGGGGATAATTTTTTCTCTTTGCATATTCTTAGCTTTCTTAGTTTCTTTTGGGACACTTTCCTTTGTTAATGCGGAAGTGACCGACATTTCCACAGATAAACAAGCTCTTCTTGCCTTGAAATCTTGTATAAGCCATGATCCTAGCAACTTATTGGCCAACAATTGGTCCATAAGTAGCTTTTTCTGTGATTGGATTGGTGTCACTTGTGGCGGTGCCCGTCACCAAAGAGTGACAGCTTTAGATATTTCTAACTTGGGTCTTATAGGCACCCTCCCTCCTCAAATAGGAAATCTATCTTTCCTTGTAACTCTATCCATCAGAAACAACAGCTTTCATGGCTCTCTGCCTGACGAGTTGACTCAGCTACGTTCATTGAAATACTTAAATTTAGGCTATAATAGATTTTCTGGTGGACTGCCTGAAAGCATTTTTGATAATCTTCCCAACTTGGAATTCTTTTCTTTGCATTCTAACATGTTCAAGGGAAAAATACCATCAACTTTATCAAAATGCAAACACTTGCAACAGTTAGGCTTGTCATCCAATAATTTCATAGGACCCATTCCGAAAGAAATCGGAAACTTGACTCAGCTTAAGCGGATAGATCTTGGAAGCAATAAACTCCAAGGTATGATCTCTCTCTCTCTCTCTCTCTTTATATATATATATAGACCTCAATTTTTTATATTATTATGGAATAATTTCATTTTGTTGTAATCCAATTCACTAATTTAGATATCATATTTTTAGGTGAGATACCATATGAAATTGGCAATCTTCATAATCTGGAGTGTTTGGAACTTGCATATAACCACCTAATTGGTCCTGTCCCAGCCGCTATATTCAACATCTCAACAATTAGAATGCTTTCACTACATGACAATCAACTCTCAGGGAGTCTTCCATCAACTGCTGAGCTTCCAAATCTTGAGATGCTTTATTTGTGGAAAAATAATTTCAGTGGACCATTTCCCGGTTTCATCACCAATGCTTCCAAGCTTCAATATTTGGAAATAGGAACCAACTCATTCTCGGGCATCATTCCAAGTACAATTGGTAATTTAAAAGATCTTGTGAAATTTACTGTAGATAGTAACTACTTCACATCTTCTACACCAAATATGAACTTTCTTTCATCTTTGGCAAATTGCAAGAATTTAAGAGTTCTATGGTTTGATAGAAATCCATTTAATGGCATCCTTCCAAATTCCATAGGGAACCTTTCTATTTCTTTGGAATTGTTATCCATAAGTTATTGCAATATTAGTGGCAACATTCCCAAAGAAATTGAAAAGTTAAACAACTTGATGAAACTAATAATTGTTGGAAATGAACTGACTGGATCTATCCCATTTTCACTTGGTGGACTACAGAAACTCCAAGGTCTATATCTTCAAANTGCTGTAATCCAATTCACTAATTGAGATATCATATTTTCAGGTGAGATACCATATGAAATTGGCAATCTTCATAATCTGGAGGGTTTGGAACTTGCATCTAACCACCTAATTGGTCCTGTCCCTGCTGCTATATTCAACATCTCAACAATCAGTATACTTTCACTCTTTGACAATCAACTCTCAGGGAGTCTTCCATCAACTGCTGAGCTTCCAAATCTTGAGTTGCTTTATTTGTCGAAAAATAATTTCAGTGGACCATTTCCCGGTTTCATCACCAATGCTTCCAAGCTCCGTTATTTGGAATTAGGAACCAACTCATTCTCGGGCATCATTCCAAGTACAATTGGTAATTTAAAAAATCTTGAGAAATTTACTGTAGATAGTAACTACTTCACATCTTCTACTCCAGATATGAACTTTCTTTCATCTTTGGCAAATTGCAAGAATTTAAGAGTTCTATGGTTGGATAGAAATCCATTTAATGGCATCCTTCCAAATTCCATAGGGAACCTTTCTATTTCTTTGGAATTGTTATCCATAAGTTATTGCAACATTAGTGGCAACATTCCCGAAGAAATTGGAAAGTTAAAAAAGTTGATGACACTAGTAATTGTTGGAAATGAATTGACTGGATCTATCCCATTTTCACTCGGGGGACTACAGAAACTCCAAGGTTTATATCTTCAAAATAATAAACTAGAAGGATTTATCCCAAATAATCTTTGTCATTTGAATAATTTGGTTGAGTTGTACTTGGATGGTAACAAGATTTCTGGATCCATACCTGCATGCTTAGGTAATCTTACTACACTAAGAACACTGTCATTAGGTTTCAACATGTTAACTTCTTTCATACCCTCAACTTTGTGGAACCTTAAGGATATCTTGTACTTTAATTTGTCATCAAATTCCCTGAATGGATCTCTTCCACTAGAGATTGGAAATCTGAAGGTTGCGATAAATATAGATCTGTCAAGGAATCTTTTTTCTGGAAATATTCCTGTTGTTATCGGAAGCCTAGAAAATCTACAATCTCTCTCTTTAGGATACAATAGATTAGAAGGCTTAATTCCTGAAACGTTTGATCCCTTGACAAGCTGAGAAGCCTTGGATTTGTCTAGTAACAAACTCTCAGGAGTTATTCCAAAGTCTTTAGAGAATCTCTCGTACCTCAAATATCTAAACTTGTCTTTCAACCAATTAAGAGGTGAAATTCCTACAAGAGGATGTTTTGCAAATCTTTCGGGTGACTCATTTATGGGGAATCTTGCATTATGTGGTTTTAATCCTTAACTAAAAGTTCCACCATGCTAAAGTATCACTCATCGTAAATCAAAAGTTCTCTTATTGATTGTCTTGTCACTAAGCATCGCGGTCACTTTAGCTGTGCTCGTTCTTTTATTTGTGTTGCTGAAATGCCGCAAAAAAGACACAAAGCTACTTAGTATTCTTGATATGTCGCCACAAGAAACATGGAGAAGAATTTCTTACTATGAACTTGTGAGAGCAACAGATGGATTTGATGAGCACAACCTACTCGGCAAGGGGAGTTTTGGTTCAGTTTACAAAGGAAGACTTGGTGACGGCATGGAGCTTGCAGTAAAAGTATTCCACCTGCAATTTGAAGAAGCTTTTACTAGTTTTGAAGTTGAATGTGAAGTAATGAGTCGTATTCGTCATCGAAATCTTGTCAAAATCATCACTTGTTGTTCTAGCCATGATTTTAAAGCACTAGTATTGGAGTATATGCCCAATGGGAGCCTAGAGAAATGTTTGTATTCTAACGACAATGTTTTGGATATCTCACAGAGGTTGACCATAATGATCGATATTGCATTAGCTTTAGAATATCTCCATTTTGGTTATTCAACCCCCATTATTCATTGTGACTTGAAGCCAAGCAACGTCTTGCTGGATGAAAATATGGTTGCACATTTGAGTGATTTTGGCATCACTAAGCTCTTAGGTGAAGAAGAGTCTATGACGCAAACACAGACCCTTGCCACCATTGGTTATATGGCGCCAGGTAATTGTTTCTAATTTAAGTTTTTTTTATTAAAACTTCTTTGTTACTTTTTTTTTTCTTTCTAGAAAAAAAAAAAGAAGAAATTAATGATTTATATTTCTAACAATTAAAGTGAATGTGATCACTATCAGAACATGGAAGAGAAGGAAAAGTATCCAGAAAAGGAGATGTGTACAGCTATGGTATCATGCTAATGGAAACATTTACAAGGAAGAAACCAACAGATGAAATATTTACTGAAGAAATGAGCTTGAGGAGCTGGGTTGGTGAATCATTATGCAGCACAGTGATGCAAGTCTTGGACACAAATTTGCTAAGAAGGGATGATGAACATTTCTCTAGCAAGGAGGAACTTGTGTCATCTATCTTGAGTTTGGCTATCGAATGTACAAGAGAATCACCTACGGAAAGGATGGGCATAAAAGAAGTAGCAACAAGACTCATCAATATTAGAGTCGAATTTGCAAAATTTAAAGTCAATGATGCACAAGGCTATCAAATTCAGGTTAGTTTTCTTCACTTTTTATTGATCAGTTGTACCTTTGACTTTAGTTCTAATTCTATTACGTATCTGTAGAATGAGATGAATGAGCTTTAATTTGCTAGCCAACCGCCATGAATCGAAGGCCTCAATGTCAGTGAGGTTATGTGTGATAAGCAACATTCTTGTTCTTCGTCTTCGATGACAAGTTCATAATTTATGGTCAACTTTGCTCAAGAAGTACTTGTAATGATTTTTTTTATTTTTTAAAAAAAAAATTGATAGACCTTAATATACTAAAGACAAAGTATTGGGGGTTTGTAGAATTTTCCTATTTCTAATAAAGATGAATTATATTTCCCTTTTTTTTTTTTTTTTTTTTTGTTGCAAATATGCATATTTAAACCAAAAACCAAATGAAGCAGTACAATTTGACAATAAAAATGACTCAACAGTTTCAATATCATTCTCTTTACAATACTAGAGTAAGCTTTCTCGTGATAAAAAAATCCAAAAGATAGATTATCTGTCAAATGTCTCACTATTGGAAATCACAAAATTGAAGGAATGACTATTTATCTATATCAACTACCTCTAGGTAGCTTGGCGATTCGCTTGGGACTCTTAGTAGTTACTCAAAAAGTCTTGAGTTCAAATCCCCATGACTACTAATAAAGGGTAGCCATTGGAGGTTTACCTAATCTTTAACTTCAAGACCCTGAATGACTAGTTGAGGTAAGCGCAAGCTGATCCAAACACCCTCGGGTATCAAAAAAAAAAAAAAAAGAAAAAGAGACTATTTATATATATCTTGAGCTAGTTAATAGTTTGGTCATCACTAAGAGCCGAAAACCTAAATTTTAGTTAAACTTTTCTCGAATTAAAACCACAAAATCTTATCCGTCAAGGAAAAATACTATATATTTCATTAATCATATTAGTATTACGTTCCCATTTTCCTTTTAGTTTTGTGGTTATTAATGTTCACATGCTATAGCTAGCAGCCTATCACTCTCCAATGAGAATATGCACCATGTGCAAAGCGCACCACTATTGCCCCAAGGCTTTCAAAGACGTGGATGCTTTTCAATTTAAAAAGGCCATCTAAATTCTTAGCCACGTATATATTGTATCGCGTCATTTACAGTACTAGGGTAACATTACCTTTAATAACCTAGATTTTTTATTGTTTTGATACGGATGTTTTGCATCAAAATTATAACATGTTACGTACCAATATGACATATTCCATGTTATGTTGTTTATATTTACATATTTATTGTTCAATATTATAAATTGATGGGATAGTGTCATGTATAATAATAAAAATTGGCTCACAATCTAATTTCATTAACTCTCTCTTATAATCCCGATGTGGTAACTCGTTATTAGTTAAGTACGAAAATTCATTAGAAACCAAATGCGAACTGTCACGTTGGAATTGTGAAATTAGATTATAAGTGTAATGTTGTCCTATATATAAACTTATTGTTATTGTTATTATGATATGAATATGTACAAAGAACGATTACACAATTTGACAACACCTAATATAAGTTTTTGCATGGAAATTTGTGGGCATTGTGATCGGTCGATAAATCAACTGGAAATTAGTTCTTGGATGCATTTCAAGTCCTCTACAAATGTGTCCAACTTATCCTTGAAATATATGAAAATGATCCATCTACATTACTTTCAAGGTTATTTTTTTTTTTTTTTTTTTTTAAATAAAGTCAAATCATCAAACGATGAAGAGGATGATGGTGTTGTGGTTTTGCTTACAATAAGGAAGTGTTTGGCTGGTGAGATAATTTTGGAGAAGAAGTCATTTCAGGTTGTTATGAGATATTTCCCTGATTATCTGCAGTTTCTGTTTTTTTCTTTAAATTAATTCATTATTACNCTATCATATTTCTCATGATGTCTATTCAGTTGGCTTCTGCAGCCTCTGAATTTGATGATACACTCCCACTACTTAAATTCGGTAAGTAATTGCTATCAATTTTCTTTTATTAACCAACATACTAGTTTAAGAGAATACGCATAGGAGGAAAACTAAGTCACTGATAATTCAACCTCGATCTCTTTTCTCTGTACTTTTCTCCTCTCTTGCACTTCCAAACGCGACATCGTAATTTCATATCAGGATGGAATAGTCGAAATACTACAATAAAGCTTTGTGAAATTATCATTTCATTCATATGTCTTGATATTATAATAATTAACCATGTTTTCAACATATGGTGCACGCATGCAGCAAGGCGGCTTCTTCAGTATTATTATCCACCGGCTAATTATTATCCACCGCCTAATTATTATCCACCGGCTATGTCCTATGGGGGACCACCGACGCCATGGGGCAAAGCCCTCAATGATGAGAAGCCGTAACTGAGATGAGATATTTTGGGGTCTCAGCTAAATTAGTCTCTATTCAATTCCTGCTGAGACATCAATCGGTTCTAGCTCAACAAATTGTGTCCCCAAGAATAAGTTGAGAGACAAGTCGTTCAAAATATGTTTATGGTGATACGGAGTTTTAGAGTCATGTGTTTTATGGATTTATGTTCTTGTATTGTGTAAGATGTGTAAGGAATTGTGTAATTTTAATTAAATAAGAGATATGTCAAGTTGTTATTGGTCTGACGACTATCTTTATTATTTAAATTGATACTTTCTTTTCTGTTAGTGTTTCTTCTGGCCATATCATACTAAGAACAGAACTTTATATTATTCAGAAATTTATGTATAATTAAATAAATTATTTTACAAGTTACATTTCTTAAAAGAAGCTCAAATTTTAGGATTTTCCTTTAAGCTCTTTTTCAGCTTCTTTGAACTTATGGAAAGAATCATTACAGCTGTTGCAAAAGGGTGAACAAGTGGTTAATTTGAACAAGCTAGGCACACCATAAACACAAGTTAATTATAACATTACTAATTAATGATTACGTATGAATTATGACATTAGATTATACACATTAGTATTTACTCTAATTCGTACACTATTAATTAAACTGTTAAAAATTAATTAATTATACATTACATTATAAACAAATGATTACTTAATAATTATAAATTACGTTATAAACATTAGTACAATACTTAATTAATGATTAAAATTTATTATTATAATATTACTTATAGATTTTAGTATGTTACTTAATTAATTATAATATTACATTATAGCAAATCATAGAATTAATTATGACATTACATCATTAGATTACTTATAATTATGATTTATGTTTAACATTAGCAATTACTAAATTAGTACAATATTTAATTAAATTTAGAAATTTAATTAATATAACATTAAATGATAAACAAAATTATTACTTATTAATTATAACATTATCTTATAGTTATGTTCCCTATTATTAATTATAACATTACAAATTAATGATCATTTAATACTTATGATATATATATAAACATTAGTAATTTACTCCTAGTTAGTCATGATTAAATGATTAAATTTATTAATTATAACATTACATTATATTATATACTGAATTACTTATTAATGTATAAATTTATAACATGTCATTATTAAATATGCTTAATTAATTACAACATTATATTATAGTATGATCACTTAATTAATTTAATATACATAGTTAAATGATACAATACTTAATTATTATAATTTATACCATTACATTAAATATTAGTAATTTGCTACATTAGTACACTACTAATATATATTAAAATTTAATTAATGTAACATTACATTAAGATTTATAGTATGATTACTTAATTAATTATAACATTACGTTGTAACATTAGTAAAATACTTAATTAAATGATTAGAATTAAATTATTATAATGTTCCATTAGATTTATAATATGATTATTGATAATTAATACATTAACATTATGACATATATTAATTATCATTACATGATAAATATCTTAATTAATTATGACTTATATTATAAACATTTATTACTACCATTAGTATAAATACTAATTAAATGATTAAAAATTTAATTAATTATACATTACATTATAGTTTAAGTGATTACTTAATTATTATAATCTTTTCTTGTTATAATATTACATAGTTAAATCAGAAAATGATTACTTAATTAATTAAATTTATAACATCACATTATAAACATTAGTAATTAATTAAATGATTAGAAATTATTATTACAACATTACATTATGTTAATAATTACTTAATTAATATAATATTACATAGTTAAATGATTACTTAAATAATTATAAATTTATAAATTATTTAATTAATTGATTGAATTCAAGTGTTGCCTAGAGATTGAAGATTTATGAGTTACATTGGACACAATGACTGAGTAATCAAAATTTTTAGAGAGTATTTGTAAACTTTTACGGTATTTTTCATTTTATAAACTAATAGGGGGTAATTATTTTTTTAGGGTAACCGCCGGTAAGGAACCAGAACCTGTTTTTAGGTTCGGTTCCCCGAAAAATGCAGGGTACTCGGAGCCGCTCTCCCCAAATAGTAATATGAGACATTCTATTTCTAATAAGACTCATATTTGATTCTTAATAGGATTATTATAATTTATTCCTATTTACAATTGTATTATTTATTAATAGTTTTCTAAGACATACAATTTTATATGAAATAAATGGAAAGCGAGCCACACTTCCAACATAGACATAACATACATCATACAACAGTTCCATGCAAACTTTGAATAAGCTTGGATTCAAAGAACAAATACACATATAAGGCATCAAAGAAGGAAGAGAATTCCTGTGTGTAGCCAACACGTCTAATATATTTCTAATACAAAGAGATTAAGCAATATAAATGTTGCAGGAACTCTAAAATATTAATGTTTGCAGTTAATTATTCACTTATCTTTTGCTCAGAAGTTTTAATTTCTATCATATGTTCCCAATAATGCATGTAGGGGCATACATATATGCATAATGCATGTTAACATAACAACTTGTATATGACTAATCCATGGTGATCATTTCCCATAGTTGAATGAATGAAGTGATCCATCTTTGTCAACGTAAATCAGTAATTTTAGAGAGTTAATATCATCCAGCTGATCCAAATGTAACCATGCACGTATGTAGTAGATCATGACTTTCCTTGAGGTATGAATATGGAACTAACCAACTATTTTGAAATGAACTAACCAACTGATTAGGTAACATGATAAAAGTTTCAGGTTAACTTCATAAGAACCCAAAGCGTTGAAGAACAAAGAAATGCTCATGTGGTACTTGGGTGGGCCGATTAAAAATAATGGTTTTATTTCTTTATAAATTAAATTTATTAAATTTATTATACATCCTCTAGTTAACGAATGAACCACCCAAGCCAAATGGTGACTCCTCACCCTATTACAAAACATTTA